AGGGTGGTGATAACGGTGAGCTTGGGATCAAATTTTAAGAAGCTTGATTGACATTTGACTATTTGGCGGATGAGTTTTAACCCACTTGTTGACTATTTTCAAACGAAGAAAATGAACCATCAGGTCTAGCATTTATTTAGCCTTACCTCTTAAGATGTCAGATTGTTTGGGCTCTCTCCTCTTTCTGGCACTTATTTTGGGATTGCCTCATTGAAAGTTATTTGGGAGTGCATCTTAAGGAATCTTGCAATAACCTGGGACCACAACTTGAAAGATTTCAACACACCCCCTGAACCTCCATCCTTTCACGTCTGGCAGCAGGTAAAGGTGTCCCAAAGCCAGAAATATTGTATGTTGTTTCTGAAGAGTGTGTGTGAAAGAGGCAGAGAAAGGGGGGAGGGGAGGATGTACGTGGTGAACATGTGCTCCTATGACTTGGACGTTTAATTCCTCCGTCTGCCCAGGAGTTATTGCCAGAGTCACCTCTCTCCGTCCAAAGAGTGATGGGGCTATCTGAAAGCTTCTCTTCAGTAGCCGACGAAATATCTACGAGGGCGCGGCTTTCTTTCTCAAACGATTGGTCGCCCTGACGCCCCGCTATCGAGGTGGCGCTAAAACAGAGGCCGGACTTTTCTTGTCCGGGGGGCAAAATGGCACCAGCTGCATTTACGGTCCCAACTGGAAGCTCCTTCCTGCCGACAGCGATGCTTAGCATTTTTATGAGAAGATACTTTGGTGAATGGGAAAGCACCGAAAAGGCTGAGGTCTGGGAAAGAAGGAGCTGTATTTTCTCCAATGAGGAGGGCGTCCGATCTTGATCGAGCCTCCCATTCCCAAAATTAAATCCGATTTCCACAGTGCCCAACCTGATATCTTAAAAGTCCGTGGTTGCTCTCTGATCCCTGAAAAACGGGCGCAGTATGAGCCTCTGAGCCTCAGCGGCTGGAGAGATCCCGAAGGGACTTTAAGATTTGGAAGAGGAAGGAGCAATACACCTTGGGAGACAGGGACAAGGGGAAGGGGAAGGCGCTAAGAAATCTGATTATCCCAGCTTAGCCCTTCTGGACAGTAATTCCACCCTTTACTCTTGTCACGAATCGAGGTAAGGCCGTTTTCATTTCTGTTTGCAAAAGACTGCCTTGGTTTTCTTCCATAATGCACCTTAGAGCTTATTGCCTCTTCTACCGACGAGGAAATTAAGGCCGAGTGAGGGATTTGCCGAGACAGCAATATTTTGTTTGGCACTGGGAGTTCGCCCAATGTCAGCTGGATGCCTGAACCTCGGAGGCGGCTGTGAGCAACAGTAGGGTTGCTCTTGAATGACTCCACCTATCCCAGTGGTTCTCAACCTTTCTAATGCTGCGACCCCATAATTCAGTTCCCCATGTTGTGGTGACCCCCAACCACTTATACATCACCGGGTGCCAGGGGCGTGGCCAAAGAAAAGGGGGAAAAATGGCGGACAGCCTTGTTTGGCGACCCCCGTGAAATGATCGTTCGACCCCAAATGGGGTCCCGACCCACAGGTTGAGAACCACTGACCTATCCGAATTCTTAAATTGTAGAAAAGAAAGTCGCTCGGTTTCGGATCACTAGCACTACTCTATTCCTTGGTGGAATGGACTCAGAGAAGTTTTCGGAAAGGGACACAAACCAAGCTTTCCTGCCAGACGAAGTAATCGGGCAACTGAAGCTTTCTGAGCTCCTCTTTTTGAAATCTCCTAGTGGGACAAAAACTTGGAATCTCTCAAATGCTTGTTTTTCTCCCCGACGCCTCATTTAAAATGTTTCTCCAGTGGTTTTAGGTAAGGCAAAAAAGACAGATGTGCGTCTCTTGTTGCGCGCTTCTCACTTTGTGATGTTTGAAGCAGGTGAGCGTTTCTCTGCGCGCTCTCCTCCCCCCTCCCCGCCCTCCCAGAGCTGCTGGGAACTGGAAGCACTGGAACTGGGATTCTTTTTCCGATCTGGTTAATGTTTTACAAACACACAAACAGACGCACACACAACCATGTCCCGTGTTAGGCTAATATAATATCGTGTGTTGCGCCTTTATTCGAGGTTTTACAATATCAGCTTTAGTGAAAACTCTAAAAATGAATTTCGGAGATCCTCAGTCATCCAGGTCATAGTTAAAGAAGAAGCTTCTTGGATAAGAAGCGAAACGTCTTCAAAAGAAAACAAGAATGTCCAGTTGCATCTTTGGGATACTGGTAATCTCCCAAACCAGGAGTTTAAGTCGGCCAAGAAAACATGTGCACCCCAGATGATTGTGCGCGCGCGGGCATTTAAGTTGAGTTAGATCAATTTAAAATTGGACGGTTTTGACCGCATGCTCGGATTTTCCTAATGATTAGAAATCACTTCCTTTTGGAGAAAACAGTCTGAATGGGGCTGCTAGGCGAGGTTTTGCCTTCACACTGTTCATAAAGTAGCTTATAGGCGCCTCTGAAGAAGAACGCGCGGAGGAGAAGAAGAAACGCGTCTTTTGTGCTTCTCTCTAGGCGCGGGGCGGGAGCTTTATGGTGTGTTTGGAAAATGTATGTATGGGCGTGTATCGCTACAGGGAGACAAGGCGAGGCTTTTCCGGTTTGGAGTCAAGAATTTCAAGCCAGGTTCCCACTTACATTTAAAAAAAAAAGCCAAACGTGGCCACTCAAAACAGGCATATAAGCGAAAAGAAAGCGACCTTTTACATTGTTAAGTTGTCCTATCAAGAAAACTCCGTTCCATGTACACAATCGACAGTTGTCCCCGGAGTCAAATCAAAATTGGGGATGTTATTGTTTGAAGCCGGAATCTACTAACCTCCACTCCACCCTCTTGGGTGGGTGGCGTATAGGAAACACAACCGAAATGAAAAAGAATCGAAGCGATTCTGTCGGAGATACACACACCACTTCCATACATACCAGGACACTTTGCAAAGCGCGACTTCTTTTCATATGCATGAACCAGGCATTTGTCTGGCGTACGTATGTAACCTCTAAATATACCTTGGGGAGCAAGCACTGAACGCCCCGGGCAGAGACGGAAAATGCATCTGGCTGAAAAATGACTAGTGGCTTGCAACTCTGTCCAATCAATCTATCTACCTTCTCTGCTGCCAAGCGCTGCGAACGACCCGCAGCTCATATTTACCGGCCCCCTAAACGGGAATTTGAGTTGTCTTAAGGCCAGAACTTTAAAGAAGATGAGAGAAAGCCGGCGGCCCTGGCGGACAGTGGAGTTCCCGAAAGGAGTTGGAGAAGGAGCCGTTTTGGCTGCTGTGGGTGCCGGTCTGGATGCCGACTCAGAAGAAAACGCTCGGCTTCTCTTCGAGAGCGCCCAAGTCCTGCCCAGTCCAGATGTCCGAGATCTGGTAATGGTCGGCGGCAGGGAAGCGAGGAAAACCGCATTTGGTTCCGTATGCCGATTGGTATACATTCAAAGTGACAATAAAGTCATTATTCATTATTCTATCTCTTTTCTTACCTGCTACTCTAGTCGTAAGGTCTCATTATAACCGTATGTAGGAGCGTGTATGAACACTGAGTATATTGAGCATGTGTTGTGTATCTAATGCGCTCCGAAACTTAATCGAAATAAAGAATGCGGAGATGGCTCAATTCATCAAATACCTACCCAATCTCTCTTCTCTTTTAAGTGGGAAATGCAGCCGTCGCCTTGCGAAAGAGGATAGCAAGTCACCTCTTTCTTAACCCATCTCTTTTTTGGGGGGGAGGGGGAGATGCAAAGCCCGTCTATAAAAAAAAAAAGAAATCCGAGACAGCCACTGCAGTCTGTGTTCTGATGAATTATTGGAAAGAATCCCTTTATGGGGGGAAAAAAAACTAGGAGAAAAGGCTGCTGTTGGACCAGTTTAAAACTAAGCAGGTGCACAAAGCCAATACACCCAGCCACAGAACCCGGCCTCTTCGGGGATTCGGGAGAAATGGTTTCCATTTAATAAGTATTTTCCCCAAGCCCCAGGGCATTTTGCGTTAGGCAGCAATTATTCAAAGCAAACAGGCGTGGAAGGGAGAAAGGGCTCCTAGGGGTATTTCGTTTTCTTAGAAGCCGATCTTTAATAGCTTGAAAATAACAATAAAAGCCCAGGACGGAAAAAGGGTGAGCTCTGAAAACGGGGGGAGGAGGGGGGCAACTTAAGAGAAACCCGCCACAAAAGCACCTTCACCATTTTCGCAGCGTTCATTTGAGCGGGGACTGGATTTCTTGTGGGTTCCCTTCTTTGGCCCTCCGTTGTAATACATTCTTCGGAAGAAGCGGGAGGGGGGGGGAAGGGGAATACAGCCCCGAAGAGATTCCTCTCTTCTTACCGGTGGTCAGAGCTTTTCGGAAGGAAGAGTTACCGCGTTTGCTTCTCACCCAGCCCAACCCGGTCTATAACGTGCCCAGGTTCTGTCCGCCCTCCGAACTCCGGGGGGCTCCGGGAGAGGGAGGGAGGGAGGGAGGGAGGGAGGACGGGAGAACGAGGGGCGCTGCTGGTTCGCTCTCACTTTCGACGCCCCGCGTGCTGCTTCCTGTTGTTGGCAAGTTGACAGGCACTCAGCCTCCCCCCTCCCCCCGGATCCGGGGAGGAAGAAGACGAACGAAAAGGAAAAGCCTTTGCCCTTGACTCGTGTGCTGCCCCCATTGATAAAGTGACTCGTTTGCTTTCTTCCCCCCCCCCCCCCAGCAAGAAAGGAGAGGATTAGAATCCAGCCCTGTCCGTTTCCCTCCGCCCCCCCCTCGCAGCACCGGCGTTTTCTCCCCTCCTACTCCGCCCCCAAACGAGGGGGCGTGAGGCGTTTTATTGGCTGCCGCTATTAGTGCGCCGTCGAACAAAAGCGGCTCCTTTAATCCCGAGTCTTTAGTGATTTCTTCTCCGGTCGCCCCCCGATTCCCTCCCTCCCCCGCCTCTTTTTCGCTCCTCGCCTTTCCGAAGGTCTCCTTTCCCTCGAGCTCCCGCTTTGCCGGCCGCTGATTGGGCCGCCGGGTGGGGAGAGTGAACGCCCCGCTGCAGCTCGGTCGGCTTGCGCGCCGTCCGAAGCCGGCTCGCCTTTGGGAGCGTCGCCTTGCGGCTGCTACTTTGCACCCTCCGCTCGCCTTCTCGCTGCCGCCTTTCGCGCCCCGCCGTCGCGGCCCCTGGGCTCCTGCGACTTCGAGGGGGCTCCCCGGCGAGCCTCGGGAGAGCACGCCACTCCGGGCGAGGCCCGGCCGTTCCGTTGCTGCCCGCCTCCGTCTTGGGCTCGCCGTCCCTCGGGCCAGCTCGGGGAGACTGGATTGCTGGGAGAACTGGTATGATCAGCTGAGAGGGGGGAGGCGGCGGCGGCGGCGGCGGCCTTGGCTGGAAGGCAGGCGGGAAAGCGGAGCCGGCGAGCGTACGGCTTTACCGGCGGGTGGCTGCTGCTCCTGGAGGCGCCAGACGGTCCCGCGCATCACCATGTCCAAGCCTTCGGATCACATCAAGCGCCCCATGAACGCCTTCATGGTTTGGTCCCGGGGACAGCGTCGGAAGATGGCCCAGGAGAACCCTAAAATGCACAATTCGGAGATTAGTAAGCGCCTCGGGGCCGAGTGGAAGCTGTTGTCCGAGGCCGAGAAACGCCCTTACATAGACGAAGCCAAGAGGCTGCGCGCCCAGCACATGAAGGAGCATCCCGACTACAAGTACCGGCCCCGCCGCAAGCCTAAGAACTTGCTCAAGAAGGACAGGTATGTCTTCCCTTTGCCTTACCTCGGGGATACCGACCCCCTCAAGGTGGCAGGGCTCCCCGTGGCAGCCACAGACTCTCTGCTCGGCTCCCCGGAGAAGGCGAGGGCCTTCATGCCCCCCACCTCCGCACCCTATTCTTTACTTGACCCCAGCCAGTTCAGCTCCAGCGCCATCCAGAAGATGACCGAGGTGCCCCACACCTTAGCTACCAGCACTCTGCCCTACGCCTCAACCTTGGGATATCAGAATGGGGCTTTTGGCACCTTGAGTTGCCCGAGCCAGCACACCCACACTCACCCGTCGCCAACCAACCCAGGCTACGTGGTGCCTTGTAACTGTACGGCTTGGTCTGCGTCCAGTTTGCAGCCTCCTGTTGCCTACATATTATTCCCGGGCATGACCAAGACTGGAATAGACCCCTACTCTTCAGCGCACGCTACAGCCATGTAACACACAAACCAAACTCCCACTGGCAGTCCCACACATTGCAGGCGACTGGAATCTGTATGGGGCCAGCAAGACTGGCCAAAGGAAGAAATCGGAAGCTGATCCGTTGTGCATGTAGCATACCGTACTCCAGAAACAAACAATCCGCCTAATCGGAAGCCACTTGAGCGTGGAAAGATGCCTTGGGGAAATCTCTTCCACCCGGGCAAAGACTCTGAGACTCTTGGGGGGGGGGTGGGGGACACCAAAACCTTAGAATCCAAAAAAACGAACGAACGAACAAACAAACAAAACTCACAGTCTTACAGAAAACTTTCTTTCCTTGTTTTCTGCACTTGGGGCTCAGATTTGCCCAAAACTTGTACAACTGTAAATGTGACAAACTTTTAACTGCCCTTTTGGCTAAAAGTCAACAACGATCCTTTTGATTTTTTTTTTAATTTATTAATGTTAATAAGTTTGTATGACTGAATGTTATTCGGACTTTAATTCTTTAAACTCCAGAAGTACTCTAACTTAATGATACCCTACCTTTTTTTTCCTTTGCACATTAAAATCAAGACTTAGCTGTGTTATATATATATTCTATATATCTATATTTTATCATCCAGCACTAATAGATAACATTGCTTTTCATGTCAGAAAGGTTAAAATAACACAACAGCTCTTTAGAGTGGTTAAAGGGGGGTTAAAAGTTTTATATTTCAAACATGATATGATAGTATTTGTTTAATTTAAACAGATAGTCCTTCAATTTGTGTGAATAAGTGCAAGTAGGCCTAAGTTTACTTTAGACAGAATGTCAGCTATGACATCAGACTGTAGTTTTTTTTAATAAAAAGAGAATAAAAGTAATTTTAAGAAGAATAACATGGTGATAAATTAATATGGTTTAAAGTGTATTGGGGAGATAATGTATCCAAAAGGATTTTACCTCATCAGTTCTGTTCATTTGTTGAACAAAAAGGCATTTTGAATAAAGACAATCTGTCGTGCAATTGGTCAGCTATGTTGTGTGAATCCCATTCCCGTTCCTATGAACTTTCACATAAAAGTTTAATGGACTGCAAGGAAGTTGAGAACTTCCTTTGACTTGCCAAGGTCTTGGGCTTTAGGTCCTGCAAAACAGTAGCTCTTCATGAAAGTAAGAAACCGTCAAGAACCTAAAGCAGGACTGGAGAGTTTTGAAATCTGAGCATAATCCACTGGAAAGTTCTCTTGCACAGTTATACTGAATTGAGCCAGCTGGTGCCTGAATCAATGTTAGTGATGGAGAACTTCTGGGTGAATTCTGATCACCTTGTTAAAATCTGTTTCCTGTGGCACATGTGCTGTGCAAGCATGCAATATATTGTATGAATACATACATACACGTTTGTGGCCAATTATTTCTAAGGTCAACTTCATTCTTCTTAACCATCTTTTCCTGTATTACAGAAGGGGGGCATAGAGGATAAGCCAGAAGGTGTGACTAGCTAAAGAGCAATTCTCTATTTCATTCCTTAGTGTAAACCCTTTGAGTATATATTTTCAGCATTGCATGATCCAGGAAATGTAAGATGAGTTCTACATCTCCACATTTTGTGATCTGTCATACAGGGATTACACTAAAACACATTCCCTAAGAAAAAATGGGACTTATTTCTGAGTAAATGTGCATAGAATTGTCCCCCCTGGGAACCCCAAATATCTTAAGTATATGCACATATCCCCCCAAATCTATCCTATTGTGTGCAGCAGATTCTAAAGTATGCCCCAAACTACAGCACATTTTTGTGCCGAAGGGGTGTTAGTCCCAGTAAAGCTGATTTACAAGAGGCTGAACCTGCTTTAAAAGCCTGAGAGTTATCTCTAATCAGAGGTAAGTCCCATTAAGTTCAGTGAGACTTACCCTTAGGTATCTGTGTACAAAACTGATGACTTAGCAGAAGTGGAGAAGGGGAGTAGAAAAGCACTTGGACTATGGTCCAAGAATCATTCATATTCTCTCTCTCTCTCTCTCTCTCTCTCCCCCTCCCTCCCCCCCTCTCTCTCTCCCTCCCTCCCCCCATGGAAAGATTATGTTTTTAAAATGTTTCCAGGACATCAGAAAGTAAAATAATGCATGTTTTTAAAAATAAAGGATACAATATTTGTGAGTCAAATTTGATTCCTGGTGACTTCATGAACCCATCCATGTACAATAGTTTTCATGGTAACTTATGGCCAACAGTGTACCATAAAGTGGCCTTTTGTGGGGATAATTTTCTAACTTCCTGGAGCCTGGAGCCCTAAAATTCCTTGTAGTCTCCTTTCAAAGAACTAGGTCAATTGTTTCTTCTTAGTTTTCTAGTCCTTACCTGCCAACCAGGTGCTGCTACCAGCGTATTTGTATTTATTCACAAACTGAAACAGCTGCCAATGTGAGAAACAGTTAAAGGTTTCTTGGGAGGTAGAGATCGCTGCAAAGAACGTGAAGTTAGAGGAGAATTTGGTGGCAGGGTAAGCATCACTTTAGCTGCAGCTCTGCTGGACGGGAACACTTCTGTTGTGCAAAATACCTTTTTGATGTTGCATCTTTCAGGATTAGATGCATGCTTTAAAGCTTCCAAGGAAATCATAAGTAATTTTGTTTAATTGGAAGTACCTATCAGAGAAGCAGCAGGATTTTTTGTGCTTTAGTTGTTCTGATTGGGTCTGCGGCCTTAATTTCCTTCAGTCACAGTTTCTAGTTAATGTGGACTAACTTTCCCTAATCCAATATATGCCGGTTGGAACTTGGTTGGCTGACAGCCATTGCAACCGCGGATGCTGGGAAACAAAGCCCAAGTCCCAAAACTGGTCGAGACCTTGGGGAACTTTCCTTGCCCTTTTGCAGACTCTTCTTTTCCTCTTGTCTCCAACATCAAGTCAGAATTCCGTTTTACAACAGCCTTCCACTTGCCTCTCCCATCCTTTCCCCGTTTCAGCTGAGGGTTCCCCAAAATCCCAAATAGGAGGGCGGGAAGGAGAATCTCTGACAGACTCAAGGAGGGAAGCTGGAGCTGGACAGATTAGCATCTTGTCCCAAACAATTAGCGGTGTTTGGCGCTTCTATTCATCAGGTCTCTCTCTTTTATATTACCGAAAGGGTTTTCATTAAAAGGGGGAGGACGAGTGAAGGGAGAGGGTCGCGGTTGTCCATCTGGCTGAGTTGAATAGCGAGGGTGATCCGTGTTGTAGATGTTTTTCTCATTAAGTGCTCTTTTGAGACCGCTGTTAGAATTAAATGGCACAACACAATTAACATACACGGAACCTGAATGGCAGGGTAAGCAGTATAAAGAATGGGCAGATAAATAACGGAGCGATCGGGCGAAGGTAAACAAAAGAACCGAAGAGGGAGGCTTTGAAAAGCGAGGTTAGGATGGCTGGACCACGCTTGTTTAGCATGACAAAAAAAAAAAAAAAAAGAAGCAGAAGCAGAAGCAGAAGAAGCGGAAGAAGCCCGCTTACAAGGGGGAGCAATGAAGATCTGGCGCGACCTCTGCGGAGGAAGGGTCGAGGTCGGAGGAAGCGCCGAACCAGGACGGTGGGACCCTCGGAGGCTGACGCGCGGCCAGGGAGGCCAAGGGAGCTGCCAGCGAGCCAGTTGGGCGGGCGGACTGCCTGATTTAACCCCAGCTGACAGTAGCTGTCAGGACCTGTGATAACGTTCATAGCTCAGTGTCCTTTAACATCTCCCGAGATTAGGTTTAAGGCGAGCCTCGAGGGAGGCGGCTGGCGGTCTTCTCCGCGCCGGAGATCGGGGATGGAGAGTCCGAAGGGCGGGGCAGTGCAGTGCAGCGCTTCGCAAAGCCCCCGGGGAGACTCCCCCACCTGCTCGCCCCCCATCCTCCTCCTCCTCCTCCTCCTCCTCCTCCTCCTCCTCCTCCTCCTCCTCCTCCCCCTCCCCCTCCCAGGGGCCGCTCGGTCTTCGCTTCTCTCTGCCTCGGTTTTGGCCTCGCCTCTGCGTTTCTCCCGGCCCGTTCGACGGGCAGCCCGATTCTTCTGGGCGAGCCGGGGATAGTTCGCCGGCTCCTTGCGGACAATTCCTTTAAACGCGTTTGGCCACCGCTGCCACGGGACCAAACAGCAGCTTTTTCTTCAATCCGGCCAGTTAATTCTGTGTTCATCTAACGATCCGGGAGGCGGTCTTCATTTTTCCTTAGCCGTTGCCGTAATTTGCTGGAGGGAATGTCCCCGCCAGAGAGGTAGGCGAAAGGGAGCTGCTTCTTTACGGAAGCCTTCTCTGTTTGAGGAAGAGCAGGCAGGTTTGTACAGCCACACAGCATTCTTCGCGAGGAATTATGGAAACTGCAACCGATTCTCAACGCTCTTCTGAGTAACGCTATCCTCACCAATAACTTGAGATGCCAGGTCAAAGCCGTTTTGTCAGGAAGTGTTATTTTGTGAGATAAGCTTAATTTCACTAAAGTACTGACAATGTCTCTGTAGCGGAGTTTATTTGCTTATTTAATGCCAAAAGATAGACGGTCCGGTCGATTTTGTTGAATTGATGAAGAGTGTCACCAAAAAATCCTCTATGCTTCGGAAGCCAGCACTTTTAAAGTGTTATAAATGTGCGGAGAAATTACTTTCTGTAAAGTTTATTAAAAAAATAAAAGGTTGGTATTAAACATGGAAAAAGCTTTAATATTTTTACTGTCCACTCCTTCACTTCCCTTCTGTCCCCATCATTTTTTTCATTCCTTCCCAAGTTCCATCTTTCAATAGGATTCTTCGTTTGCAGGTGTACAGCTATTTTATGCACTCAGACGTCTTTCTGTGCTTACGCATACACAGATGCTTTGACACTGAAATGAACAGATTACTGACTTTGATGTCAAAAGATGGGGGAGGGGGGGAAGGTGAGAGAGTGAAAGAAGATATTAACTAAATAGACAGGAAGGAGGAAGAGTGAAGCAAGAGGGTCCCTGTCAAACCTGTTTATCCACAACTGTCTCCTTTTTCCATAAAATCATTAAACAAAAGACAGGGGTTAGGAGGGGTACCACACCTGCCAGCGAAGGGGTGGGTGAGAAGTGGCATCCTAAAGAACCAGCCCTTGCTTGCTTCCTTTTTCTCCCTCCCTCGCTTATTCTTAGTTGGGATTTGGGCTATCTGGGGAGGGGGGCGGCGGGGGCGGGAGCAGCTTCCCTGACCTCACCTGGCAGGGGGATATCTGGGAAAGCTGGAGGTGGACCTGCAGAGTTGATAGAATTTCTCAAGAGGAGGTTTGGAGATTAGGCGAGGGGGAGCTTTCTTTGAAGTGGAGAAAATGACTAGCGGGTGGTGGGAGCTGGAATGGATTAGGAGAGGGTGGAGGTGCTCGTCTTCCGATGCAGCTTTGGTTTGGAAGGCTTGGGTCCCTGCGAAAAAGAGTCCTCTCAAAGTCCCCTGTTGGGTTCCACCTGCAGCCACCCTGACCCAAGTCCCAGTAAATTGAGGGTTCCTCTCATTTCTGGAAGGGATTTCACAGAAATCGTTGTCCAGTGGAAAGTGGGAAGGCTGAGCATTATGGATGCGAATGGTCCTGAAATCTGAATTTCGTTGCCTTGTAAA